TTTCTTGTAGGGCTGCTTTCGTGTTTGCAAATTCCTTTAGTTTTTGTTTGTCCTGGAAGCTTTTTATCTCTCCTTCTATTTTCAATGACAGCCTAGCTGGATATAGTATTCTTGGCTGCATATTTTTCTCATTTAGTGCTCTGAATAGGTCATGCCAGTCCTTTCTGGCCTGCCAGGTCTCTGTGGAGAGGTCTGTTGCCAGTCTAATGTTTCTACCATTGTAGGTTACATATCTCTTCTCCCAAGCTGCTTTCAGGATTTTCTCTTTGTCTCTGAGACTCGTAAGTTTTACTATTAGATGTCAGGGTGTTGACCTATTTTTATTGATTTTGAGAGGGGTTCTCTGTGCCTCCTGGATTTTGATGCCTGTTTCCTTCCCCAAATTAGGGAAGTTCTCTGGTATAATTTGCTCCAAAATACCTTCTGCCCCTCTCTCTCTCTTTTCTTCTTCTGGGATCCCAATTAGTCTAATGTTGTTTCGTCTTATGGTATCACTTATCTCTCAAATTCTGTCCTCGTGATCCAGTAGTTGTTTATCTCTCTTTTCTCAGCTTCTTTATTTTCCATCATTTGGTCTTCTATATCACTAATTCTCTCTTCTGCCTCATTTATCCTAGCAGTTAGAGCCTCCATTTTTTATTGCACCTCATTAATAGCCTTTTTGATTTCAACTTGGTTAGATTTTAGTTTTTTTTATTTCTCCAGAAAGCGTTTCTCTAATAACTTCCATATTTTTTTCAAGCCCAGGTACTATCTTTAAAATCATCATTCTGAACTCTAGTTCTGACATGTTACTAATGTCCGAATTGATTAGGTCCCAGGCAGTTGGTACTGCCTCTTGTTCTTTTTGTTGAGGTGATTTTTTTCCATCTTGTCATTTTGTCCAGAGGAGAATAGGTGAATGATAGAACAAAATGCTAACAGGGTAACAGTGTTCCCAGAAAATATACACTAAACAAATCAGAAAAGACCTGAAACCAGGGGAAAAGAAAGGGAAAGAAAGAAAAAAGAAAAAGATAAGATAAAAACAAACAAAAACAAAACAAGACTAAAAAAAACCAGAATATGATCAAATATGATCAGGCTGGTGCATGGATCAGTGCCACACACTAGATTTTGGGCATATTTTGGTCTGTTAGAAGAAAGTGCTTCCCAAACATTTAAAGAAAGTAAAACTTATATATGTATAAAAATAAGGGTTAATACGATGAAGGGATGGAATATGACTGTAAAGATGAAAATTATAAAAGATTTTATAAAAGGAATTGATTAGATAAGAAGTTGGTTGAAAAAAGAAAGAAGAGGATTTAAGAAAAAAAAAAGGAAGAGAATGTGATTAGGCAGGAGACTAGAACAAGCCATACACTAGAGATTTACGGTATATTTTGATCTGTTAGAAGAAACTGTAATCCAAAATTTTAAAGAGAGAAGAACTTACATATATTTACCAAAAATAATGGTAACTACTATGAAGGGATAGAATATGACTCCAAAAATGAAAAATAAAAAATACTTTTTAAAAAAGGGATTGATAAGATGTTTGAAAAAGGGAAAAAGAAAAATTAAAAAAAAAGTTTAAAAAAATTAACTTTGAAAGACTAAAGAATCATGGTAAAGAAGCCACGGATTCTATGTGCAGTATTCCCCTAGTTCTGGAGTTCTGCCATTCTCATTGATCAGTAAACTTGGTCTTGGCTGGCTGTTGTCGCTGATCTTCTTGGGGAGGGGCCTGTTGCCATGGTTCCCAAATGTCTTTGCCAGAGGCGGAATTGCCCCGCCCTTGCCTGTCTGGGCTAAGTAATTTGCTTGGGTTTGCTCTCGGGAGCTTTTGTTCCCTGCAAGCTTTCCATCCAGCTTTGGAGGAGGTGAGTGAAAATGGCGGCCTCCCAATCTCCGCCCCGGAGGAGCCGAGAACTCAGGGCCTCGCTCCTCAGTGCGCCCCCAGAGAAAAGCAGTCAATCCCTCCTGTCTCCCCGGTCTCCTGCCACACTCCGTGCTCACCCGGCCTGTGACCAAGCGTTTCTTTCTCTGGCGCATGACCCTGTGTGGAGTCTCCAAACCCAGCAGATCTCTGCGGTGCGCTCCCGCGCTGCTCCTCCTGGGGGAGGAAGGGGAGTCTCCCGGGATCTGCCGCTTGTTGGGACCCTGCTGGAGGAGCAGTGGCCTGACTGTGCCGTGGATCACGGTTTATGGCAACCCCTAGCTGAGAGCCCGCACCTGGGCTCCGTCTCTGCAGCCGGCTTCCCTGGTCTGATCCCTGGGAGCTCTGCAGCACTCAGGCACCCCCGATCTTTCTGTGACCCCGAGGGTCCTGAGACCACACTGTCCCTGCGAGGGTTCCACCCCTCGCTTAGTCACTGGAGCCATGTCCCTCAGCGGAGCCGACTTCTAATTTTAGTATATGTGCTGCCAAAGGGAGCACAGTGGAGCTGACTTCTAAAAGTTCTGATTTTGTGCTCCACGGCTCTGTCACTTGCCGGAAGCGGCCAACGTAGGGCCCCTCCCCCGCCGTCTATCCTCCTGAATATCACGTCGGATTCACTTCTCCACACGTCCTACCTTCCAGAAAGTGGTCACTTTTCTGTTCAGAGAGTTGTTGCTATTCTTTTCTTCGATCTCCTGTTGAGTTCGTAGGTGTTCAGAATGGTTTGATCACTATCCAGCTGAATTCCTGAGACCAGACGAAATCCAGGTCTCCTACTCCTCCGCCATCTTGCTCCCCATCTAGCATCACAATTTAATCACAGTATAAATTGTGGTTGATTGAGGTGAAGTACTAGCTGAATCAGGTTAACCTTGGGAATCCATATGACTGCTGCCCTTGACTTTTATGGCAGGAATGATGGCTACAAACACCATGGCATGGAATGGATTCTCCTGGGTGTACCAAGCACTTGAAAAATCTCCTGGTTTATTATTATTGCAAATCAACAAAACAAGGCTATAATAACACTTTTCAACACTCATCTCTTCTTGATACATTTGGTAATAGAAAACATTAAAGAAGGAAACATTTATACAAAATAAATGCCAAATAAAAATCAGTTAAAAGTTTGAAAGATAAATCTACACATTATATCCTATTTGAAATTTTCACTTCTAAAATTAAATTGTACAAAAAGTATCACTTGTGTTATTTGAATGTTTTGACTTTGGTAACAAGTATTCCAGAGATTAAAAAAAAAAAAATTTGTATTGTGTCAATGCTCCTCAAATTGTTAAGTGTGTTCAAAAGCATCTTCAAATTGGGCATTAGGTTGTTTTCTTGAATAAGCTTATTTTCTTTTTTAATGATGAAAATATTTTGTCTCCTTGCCCTGATTTTGGTTTTGCCATTGAAATCTATATTGCTTTTACTTCAGATATTACACTAGTTTCTGATTTCAGGTTGGAGTGTTCCACAACAACATTCACTTCTCTCTGCATTTCTTCTATTAAAGGGATTTACAAAGCACTGAAACTCATAGCAACATACTCAAGCAGTGGAAAATGCCAAGGGACATCGTTGGGTAGTATTCAAATAACATTCAGATCCCCCTTCAAGGTTAACATCATTACATAGAATCACACATCAGAACTGCTGATTTAAGGACTTATTTAGCCTTCAAAACCTGTGATATTTGGAGAACACCACTCATAAGATTTATATAAAGTATAAATGCATCTAACTGCGCTAATATTGTATTTGCAAGAAAGACTCACTGTTAGCAGACAGGGCCTTAACCTCACACTTGTAGCTCAGGAACAGCTGCAAGTACGACTGACAAGTGGATTGTGAATGCTGCTCTCCCATGTGCTTCTGTCCTAGTGCCTGGAAATGTCAACTTGACCATTTGGTTTCATTTGTCAGTATTTTCTGCTCTTGCTTTCAGTTGATATTTTTAGATTCCTTCAAATCAGTAACATCTCTGTGTCAGATGATTAAGCTTTAATTCTCACAGGAGAATTATAATAGTTTGTTTCCTCATTTTCCCTATCAACTGATTTTTCTGGGGATTTAGAAAAAGTAAATTGGCCAAGAGACTTCAAGGAGGGATCCCTACATGGAAACACTAATGTCTATCAACTGCAGCTCTCATCTAGGAGTTGGTGAGAATGCAAAGTATATTTACTTTGGGACATTTTCTTTTAAACATAACACTTACCATATGGCCTAGCATTTCCACTCCTAGGTATTAACTCAACATAAATTTAAATATATGTCTGCCCAAGGACTTGTAAGTTTATAGCTGCTTTATTTATAATGCCCCAAATCTGGAACCAGCCCAAATGCCCATCAATGGTGAATGCCTAATCAAATTTTGGTATATCTGTGCAATAGAATACCACTTGGCAATAAAAGGATATTGAACCACAACATGGATAGATCTCAAAAGCGTCATGCCAAATGAAAGAGGCCAGGTACAAACCACTACTGGAATCAGTGTATGATTCTATGTATATGAGATTCTGTTAATCACAGAACTACAGTGACAGCAGATCAGCAGCTTCCACAGGGTCCTGAGAAAACCTTTAAGAGTGATGAGTCCCAAGACTCACAGAATTGTGAGTTTAGTGAATTTGATTGTGGGTCAGTTATATTCAAATAAAGTGACCAAGTAGATTCCCACAATTGTCTTCTTTTATATCATTAATAATTAGAAAATGAAAATTTACAAAAAGATATTTATAATAGCATATAGGCATTTGAAATACCTAGAAATTAATCTCTAAAGAAGTGTAAAGACTTCTGTAAGATAAAATTAAGGGGCCATAAAGAAGATCTGAATATACTGACCGATTTCTTGTTCCTGGATTAAAGATTCAATATGGTGAAGACAGGAGTTCTCCTTAAATTGATTAATAGATTCATTCTAATCCCATAAAAATTCCAGCATTCTTAGCCTATTTCTCTGATTCCAGGTTTTATATGGAAGGGCTGTAAATAGAGAAAACAAAATAGGTGGACTTTTTCTATTCTATACCAAGATTTATCATAGAAATGTATTAATTATAGCACCATGATAATGGTGCAGGACTGGTCAGTGGGTAAATAGGATGTAATAGCCCAATAACACATCCAGTTTTATCTAAACATTTCTATATGAGATTTCTATGAAAGAAGTGACTTTGCCTGATCAGAGGGGAAAATAATTGACTTTTCAATAAGTGTGTTGAATAGCCATCTGGAAAAAAAAGAAGTTGGACTACTACCTCCCATCAGGCCGAATAAGATCTATTTTAGTGCATTAAAGTACTAGGTGTGAAAGGCAAAGTTGTAATGCTTTTACAAAGAATATAGAATGTCTCCATGGCCTTAGGAAGGATTTCTTCAACAAGACACAGAAGCATTAGCTATAAAGGAAAGGATTGATAAATTTGACTACAATAAAATGAAAAACTACTATCATTAAAAGACCATTAAAAAAGATGAAAAAAATCAGAGTGGGAGAAGATACTGTCTATTCTGCTACAGTGTTTGTTTCTGTAACACAAGTAAGTTCATATATGATTGGTAAGTAGGTAGGATAATGATGTCAATTTAATGAAGGTAATATTGGTTCTTACTCCATTTTCCCCAGTAAGCTAATGTTTTGTGTCATCAAGTAGCAGCAAGTAAACAGAATATACAAACATAGTTGAATGTTGCATGCACTGTGCATAATGCCCATTCACCTCGATTTGGCCTCTTTTCTCAATTTGGACATGTACTTTAATTTAAAAATCATTTATTACATCTTTTGCCTTATCTTCATTATTCAGTAGCTCCAACCCTCCTTATACCCCTGTCAAGCTATCTTTTCTTTTTTTAAAATTGTTATTTAAAGACAAAGTATTTTATTTACACTGGTATTTTTATCAGGAATTTAAAATATCTTTTAAGCTGTCTTAGTGTTTTTAATTAGGGTTGTTACTGATTTTGCTAGGCTCTGGTTACAAAGTTGCAATAGGTTTTGAGAAATCAACCCTGACCCTGTTTTCTCAGTAATCTCCACTATTTGGGGAACACGATTTTGCAGAAAGTACTGTTTCTAGAAAGCATTTTTTAAAAAAGATTTATTTATTCGTTTTAGAGAGAAAGCATGAGTGGGAGGGGCAGAGTTGGAAAGGGAGAGAGAATCTTAAGCAGACTATGCTGAGCACAGAGCCCGCTGTGGGGCTGGAGACCATGACCCAAGTCAAAACCAGTAGTCGGATGCCCAACCGACTGTGCCACCCAGGCTCCCCCTTATTTCACATTTTTGCAGAAACCCCCTTTGCAACACGTATATCTGACAAAGGACTGCAGTGCTTTATCAATAGTAAGACACAGTTATTTCACATGTTAGCCTCTCTACAATTGTATCTTACAATAGATGTAATCTTTTGATTTTAATTGCCAGTTTTCTTTTTTAGTGATAAAATAGTGGTGCATTTTGGAAGCTGTTGATTACTTAGATTTGATGAAGTACTGTAGTAAAGAACTACAAGTCAAGTTTTAGAAGATAGGCAAACCAACAGAGAAGTGGCAAAAGCCTTGAATAGTCACTTCACAACAGAAGAAATCTCTACGGCTAGTAAATATTTGAAAAAGAATGTGTGATCTCATAAATCAGTTGCACATTAAATACACAGTGAGATGCCTTCACATGTTGGCAGAAGTTTAAAAACCTGACTCCAAGTGTTAATGTGGACATAAAAGGATGCATATGGCATGATTCCATTCATATGAAATTACAAAAGAGGCAAAACTAAGCTTTGTTGCTTAGGAATGCATTATGTAGTTGGTAAAAAAAAAAATTTAAAGAAGAAAGGAAATCATCACAAATGTCAAGATGGTGGGTACTTTTGGGGGTGGGGGAAGGAGAGATTTATGATTGGAGGTGTACAAGGGGGCTTTTGACCTCCTGGTGATACTGTTTCTTCACTTGAGTGGGTTTGCTTTGTTATTACTTGTCAAACTTTACATATATGTCTTATGTACCTGTCTGTATATTTCAGAATAAAACAAAAGAGGGGAATGATCAGTTATATCAAATCTTGATAGGTCAGGTAATACTAGGACTGAGACTTGAGCATTGGGTTAAGCAAAGTGGAGACTCCTGATGAACACAGCAGATTGTCTCAGTGGAGTGGTTGGGGCAGTGATCTAATTGGAATGGGCTCAAGAGACAGAAGAGAGGAGTTGGGAGACTGTGAGTAAACAGAACTTGGAGGAATTTTTATGTAAAAAGGAGAAATATAGTAGAGACTAGAGGTGATATAGAAAGCTTTACATTAAATATATAAAGTATCAGGAGAATACCAATATAAATTTTCTGGAATGCTGAAGGCAATAAGGTAGGGTAGGTGAAAGGAGAGAACTTTTTATGTGTATTGGGATTACACATTTTTGGAGAGAGAATGTGAAAATTTGTAATACCTATATTTGTAGAGAAGTAACATTAAATCTTCTTAAGTCTTGGAAATATATATATGTGTCACACATGGCATTTCATATCTACTCATGGAAAGCATCATGAACATCACCTTGCTTAACATCACTTTGCAGAAAGAGAATGAAGCACAGAGGGATTAAGTACTTGCTTAAAATCGTATGATTACTAACAATTCCAGACTAAAACACGGAGTAGCTCCTGCCCCTTGCATCAGTGCTCTTTTTATAGTATTATCTATAATATGGTTTGCTCTTAAATCGGGTTTTTCAGGTTTTATATAATCAGTATATATATATTTTTAAAGATTTTATTTATTTATTTGAGAGAGAGAGAACACATGAGAGGGGATAGGGTCAGAGGACAAAGCAAACTCCCTGCTGAGCAGGGAGCCCGATGCGGGACTCGAACCAGGGACTCCAGGATCATGACCTGAGCCGAAGGCAGTTGCTTAACCAACTGAGCCACCCAGGTGCCCTATAATCAGTATATTTTATAGTAGAGTTTATTTGGATAATATTTCAATTAGCCTTTGCTGCATAACAAATCACCCTAGAACAACCTAGAAAAATAACTATCATGTATTATTTCTCATGATTCCATGAGTTAGATGAGCTCAACCGGGACCACTTATGTGGCTGCAGTCGTTGGCACCTCCACTGGGGTTGGAGGGTCTAAGATGGCCTCAGTCACATGTCTGGAACCTTGGTGCTATTTGTTGGCTGGGGCTCTCACATCGTAGTGTAACCTGGACTTCCATACTTGGTGGTGGAACCATTCCAAGAAAGCAAAGATGGAAGTCTAGACTCCTGAACTTGTACAACATCACATCCTCCACATTAAACTTTTCAAAGCAAATCGTAAATCCAGTCCAGATTTCAGAGGTGAAGCAGTAGGCCGCCCCATCTCTTAATGAGAGGAGGTACAAAATATTGGGGCCACGTTTTTCTATCTATCACAGATAATTATAAGTGTTAAATTTAATCATTAAATTTATTTTCCAGTGTTAATTTTTAGTTAATATGGAGCTAAAAGCTGTTGATTTGGGGAATCTAACAATGTAGTTTAGCCAATGCATGAGAAAACAAAAATTTGACAATGACAAAAATATTTTAACAAAAAAGTTATGTTTTCCAGCTTTTTTATCCTCTGTGATATAAAACAGATAAAGAAATGCTCATTTTAAAAATAAAAAGTTCGGTAAGAACAAGGGGGAAGCTTATTGAATGTACTTTGTTGCTTATAGTATTGTCTAAATAATTTTCTGAGATTGTTACCATTAATGTTTTATTATCACCTTTGTGAATTTTTTTCAGGTTACAGAATATAATAGAATGTACTACAACTAAAAAATAAGAGCAATTAATAATCTTCCATTAATTATAATAATAGCGTATTTCCAGGTACTGTGCTAATTATATTTGTGTAAAATTTCACATAATTTACTTGACCACTGTCTATATCGAGTACCTACTATGATTCTTCACTGTGTTAAGGCTTGGGACTATTAGTTTGAACCATGTAGACATCATTCCTTCATGTTCCATCCCAGGTGGGAGTCAGGGAAGGTCCTCTAAAGAAACTTCTTAAGCCAGGATGTAAAGGATGAGTAGATGTCAGCTGAGGTAAGAGTGGGAAAGGGAAGAGGAAGTCTTCCAGGGAAAGGGATGACTTGGAGAAAGGCCTTGTGGAGGTAAGCAAGTGTAAAAGAAATAATAAAAAAAAAAACACTATTATGGTTAAAGCCTAGAATGTTAAAGGGGTGAGGCAAAAAAGAACCTGAAGAGGATTGTTATTGCTAAAGATCATGGGAAACCTTTGATAGATTTAGAGGTTTTTTGCTCAGATGATTGTTTTAGAAATGTCAGTGGCTGCAGTCTAGGTAAGGATCATAGCCAGGGAGAAGTAAGGGTTGACCCTATGAGACCAACAAAACAGACCATAGATAGTGATATGAATTAGATGAGTGTGAGAATGAAGAAAAGTGTATAAACCCTAGAGGTATTGAGGAGATGGAATCAACCAGATTTCCTAACCAGATGTGGAATAGAGGGAGGAACCTAAGATGGTGGACTCTCTGCCTTCTGGCTTGGAGCGCCATTAATGACTAGGGAGCATAAGTGGAAGAAAAGATCTGGAAAGGGATTCTTGTGCAGGATTTGCTGCAATATCCCAACTCTGTTTTGAGGCTAAATACTTGGGTCTCTTTTTTTGTATTCTCTACTATTTGAAATAATTTTTCTAGTATCAGTTCACAGAAACGTTGAATCATATTCAGTAAAATTCAGTCAAATGTAGCAACGCTGCCATACCTGAATTTATACTTTGATCTAAAAGATTTTACTTTAGGGCACCTGGGTGGCTCAGTTGGTTAAGCGACTGCCTTCGGCTCAGGTCATGATCCTGGAGTCCCTGGATCGAGTCCCGCATCGGCTCCCTGCTCAGCAGGGGGTCTGCTTCTCCCTCTGACCCTCCTCCCTCTCATGCTCTCTCTCACTCTCTCTCTCTCAAATAAATAAATAAAATCTTAAAAAAAAAAAAAAAAAACACTGCAGGGCGCCTGGGTGGCTCAGTTGATTAAGCGACTGCCTTCTGCTCAGGTCATGATCCTGGAGTCCCGGGATCGAGTCCCACATCGGGCTCCCTGCTCGGCAGGGAGTCTGCTTCTCCCTCTGACCCTCCTCCCTCTCATGCTCTCTGTCTCTCATTCTCTCTCGCAAATAAATAAAATCTTAAAAATAAATAAATAAATAAGAGATTTTACTTTAGTGCGAATTCCTTGATAGGAATTTACTATTCTGTTGCCATAGTGTATTTCATTAAACACTGTACTTCTTAAATTTTTAAAATTACTTAAAGAGAATAATGGCTGAGAAGCAATATATGAATACCTATCTTAAGCTTTAAGTCCTTTATTCATTAAACTAAAATAATTTCATAATTAATATTTGACCAAATTTTAAAACTAAAGTGCATTAAAAGAACTTTTAAAAATTGTTTCTCTCTTCACTTATACCAGGGAAGAAAAATACATAAGGTAGCTTGATAAAAATGAAATCTGTATACACTGAAACTAATATTGTGTGTCAACTATACTTCAATTAAAAAAAAAAAAGAATAACCATGTCCCCCAAAATATGAAGTCTTATCATTGGTAGATTTATCTTTCCTTCAGATGTTAATTTGACACTAGAACTCTTTTTAGCCTTTGTGGTTTGTATTTCGTAGCTATATGTAGATTATATTAAAGTATATTTAGTCATTCTACGTTATTGTCCTATTTTCACCTAAAAATGTTGCCTAAAATTTTCTGGTTGTCTTTCTAGAAGGTACATATATTCAGTAGTGTGTTTCTCCCATGTGTTCTCTATAGACTGTATTTTCTATTATTCTCAATATTTTGTAAGTTTAAAAGCAACCTATTTTTTTTCTTGTTTTTTTTTCCTTAGGCACTACAAGGGCCCCCAGGGATGGGGAAGTACCAGGGGTGGACTATAACTTCATTTCTGTTGAACAGTTCAAAGCACTGGAAGAGAGTGGAGCATTATTAGAAAGTGGAACGTATGACGGTATGTCCCCCAATACTGACAACAGCAGCAACCCAGAGAACTATCTGAATGGCTGGAATTACTTCAAAGGGAAATTGATCAGTAAAATATTTTTTTTTTAATTGTCTTCTGTTGGTCTTTGGGGAAGTTTTCTTTTGGTTAGCCTGTTTGTAATTTACTACCTAAAATGGGATTAAGTAATTAAGCAGAAGCGTTCCATCATATTATAAAGCTGATTGTGAAGAATATACTGAAATCCTTCAAAACAACCAGTTTGCATATTTTGTGGTAATTCATATTCATCAAATGAACTCAACAAGTGTTTGTTGTTTGCTTTCTGTTTGTGGTTAGGAATCCAAATACTGTGCACTTAAAAAAATCTATAGCTTGGCTCTCTTGGAGAAAAGAGAATATAGATTGGGGGGAAAACAACAAAAATGGAATAATTGGTTTTCTTTTCATATCTCTTTTCTACCCACTTGTTTCTAGAAGTAGAGACTTAAGATCAGTTTCAATTTTTAAATGATGCTGTGTTCCATCTTTTGTTCTCCCTTACCTGACACTCTTTACTGGCAAGCTTGTCCACTCCCATCCACGCTCTACTTCTCCATCATTGCTTTCTCATGCTGTTATAGTTGCCTTTTTCACAAGCTTGGTGAAAGCCGCATCATGTCTTAGTAGTATCTTCAGTGCCTAGAGATGGTGTTCGATGAACACTAACCTTGAATTCAACATATCCAAGTATGCATTGATGTTCTGTCCAAAAGAATAATTCTTCGTAATTTCTCTCTTTAGCTGTACCCTGGGCTCAAAATGGTGGAGTCATCATTTACTCCCTCCTCTTCCTTAGAGTTTCCATCACCAAATCTAGTCATTTCTTCCTCTGTAACAGCTTTCACGATGCATTTCTTTTCACTCTCACACGACTTCGTAGGCTCTGGACAAGCTCATGTCTGGGCTTCTGCGGCTGTTTCTTCCCCATGTCTAACCCACCTGCCCATTGCTCTCATGCTCGTCTTCCTCCACCGCTGCTCCGCTTGTGTCTCCTCTTCAGAGTCTTCTGTGATTTCCTTTTTGCCTGCTCAGTTTGCCCCAGCTGTGCTTTCTGGGCTTAGCTCCCACAACTCATTCATTCATTCGTTCATTCAGCAACCCATTTATTAAGTACCTACAACGTGCTAGAGATACTGTGGTGAACAATACTGAAATGGTGCTGCCTTAATAAATCCTATATCCGAGTAGGAAAAGCAGTCAGACAACAAGCAAAATCACTATAAAAGGAGACGTTATGAAGAAAACGAAAATAAGAGCTTTAAAGAAAAGAGTAGAAACGTCTTATTTAGATAAGGTGGCCAGTGAAGACTTCTGAGAGGAAATGACCACTACTTATTTTTTATTTTGAGGCCAATAGCCTGGCCTCATTCACCTCCCTTTTTAGAGGCAACCATTCGGATGTGTTTAATCTGCATGCTTTTGTTCATATGCATTCTCGCAAAATGTGTCTTCTGTGTATGCATGTATTATTTGCATCTGGACTGTGTTCTATATCTCATTCAGTTTTTAAGTGTTCTCAGTTATTTCAGTGTTTTTTAGATTCAGCCATGTCGCTGTCCTATATTTACATGTAATTCATTGCTTTTTTTAACCACTGCACAGCGATCCACTGCATTCTACTTAACCCCTCTTGTAGTAATTGACTTCCAGATTGCTTCCAGCACCCCCTCACCACAGATAGAGCTGCAGCATCCTCTTCTTCTAGACCTGTGTGAGGATGTCCATGGCACATATACCCAGGGGCAGAACTGTCGGGCTATAAGGTCTGCAGGTACTAAATCTGATGAAGGAGTCGAGGCAGCTCTGCAGCTGCTTTCCCGCAGCCGTGCTTGAGGGGTTGGTTCCTGTAGCAGCTAGAATAAAGATTCCATGTCCTCACCGTCCAGCTGTATCATTTTGCCAATCTGATGGTTGTAGAAGTGGGATCTCCTGTAGAAGTGGGTTGTAGAAGTGTCAGAGAGTTGGAATATCTTTTTATATGCTTGTTAGTGTTTTGGACTTCCGCAAATTGTCTTTTCATTTGACTGTACATTTTTTTAAAAGTGGGATCTCAATCCACATTCCAGTTTGTGGACATTCCTTAGATATTTAGATATTTATTTAGACATTAATTCTTTATTGGATATAGATATTTTCTCCTGTTCTGTCACTTACTATGCTTGTCCATGTGTTTCTTCATTAAGCAGAAATCCTTAGTTTTTATATGTCAGATTTATCACTGTTTTTCTTAGGGTTTGTGCTTTTGAAGTTTTGTTTAAGAAGTCCTTCTCTGTCCTTAGATCACAAAGACATTCTCCCTCATTTTCCTCTGTTAAGTATAAGAACATGGGCGATGACAAAGTGGCATATTACATATTATAATTGCTGTGTGCTAAATTTAAAGGAAATGCAAATTGAAATGTACCGTTTCACACCCATCAGGTTGACAGAAATTTTAAAGTCTGATAATTGTGAGAAGTGGAAACTCCCATATACTGCTGGCAAGAGTATAAAATGATACAATCCCTTTGGGGAGCATTTTGGCAATAGCTAGTAAATTTGAAGATGCACTTAGCTCTGACCCAGCAGTTTCCTCTCTGGATGCCTGCTCTAGAGAAATCTTTATCTATGTGCATATGTAGTCACATACCAGAACAGTCATTACAGCGTTATTTGAAATAGTGAAAGAATGGAAACAACTCTGTTTTAGTAGGGAAATTCATAAAATGCATTTTAACTTGTTCATGAAAACAGACTATTATACAGCAATTCAATAAACTTGAATCTACATGAATGAACAGGAACAAGTCTTAGAAATATAATTGTATAAAAGGAAAGTTGGAAAAGAACACATAGAGCATACTGTTTATAAAAAAGGCACGAAATGTTAGAAAAACCTTTATGAACCTTTTATGAAAACAATGGTATTTATATGTTATATATGCATATACATGCCCTAGTTGTACACAGTGTGCAGGGAAATGACACATACCAACTTCAGAGCAACTCAGGGAGAGCATGGGAAGGACTGACAGGAAGTTATGACCTTAATTGAACAAGTGACCGTGTATATATGTCCTTAAAGAGGGGGACAAAAGGGAGACCTGAAAGGAATCCGGCAGAAGTTAAATAAACAAATAAGGATGTGTCTAATAAAATTGTCTCTGATTCTGTATGTATTTAAAATATTTAATAGTTGGTAGTTCTTCTTGAAAAATGAAAAAACCTTCAGAAAAGAAAAAAGGGGAAAAAAACCCTTCTAAAAGCTTCAAAAAGATGAAAACCTTTTCTGTCAATAACTATAGTCAGGATTCACAAACCATGTCATTTTTATGCATTGCTGTATCTGAAATCTTGATACTTACCAACAACTCAAGAAAAATAGTCCTAATTTCCTTATAAGCAACGCTAGTTTTCTTTAAGTCCAATAATTGTGTTTAAGTAAGGAAACTGCCAGAATTTGTTATGAAGTCCTAAAATCTTAATGATCATGGGTGGCAATCAAAATATCCTAAATTTGTCTGATTTCACCCTAGAAAACAGTTAAACTCCCTAGAGTGAGATAATAATTACTAAGACTACGCAATAAAATGTGTATCTAGTGTTGCTACTAGAACTACCGTCCTTAGGGAAGGTGGATGTTTGATTTTTGTCACGGAATGTCCAAATTCCTGGGTAGCATGATTGTTGGACACAATGCAGGAAAAATTGATATCCTGGAGCATCCTGTTCCCCAACCAGACCTCTCTTTGGAACGTTTCTGGGCCCTCTGCCCCAGAGAAGTGTGAGATGGCCTCTTCACTGGGTCCTTGTTTTACTGTGGGCTAGAAAGTTTGCAGAGACTCTCTGAGTGTTTTAAATACAAATCTTCGCATCCATCTGCCTGACAGGGGTAACTCCATTTCAGATATGGATTTGGGAGCAAGGGAGTAGTAGAGTGGGGAGAGGCAAGATGTAGTTGAAAAATTTTTTGGTTTGATTTCGTTGTTTTGTCTTGAATATTTTAATGACAATTACCACCCAAAGTCAGATGTCCAAAGAATTTATCTTAATGCTTTTCCCTCAAGGCACACATGACCAAAGGTAAAGTGATCTGTAGATTTGCCTCAGTATTATGGTGAACAACCTATACTTTTTTTCATCTGGGACAAATAATTCATTGTATACCCCATTAAATTACTTTATGTGATGAGCATCTTAATTGCATCCTTAGGAGCCCAGGAATTTCATTAGAAGGTGTGATTTTAAAAAATAAATGAATGAAAGAAGATCATGAATATTTTATTCCCTAACCATATCTTTCAATAGCATTAGCATAGTGGCTGATAAAAGGTTGAAACCAGCAGGAGCCAAAAACTGTTAATGTAGTTAGACCTTTTGAGTGGTTTTCCATTGTATTTGACTGCCTACTGGGAACTGCATGACAAATTAAGAAGACATGCAATTGTTTTCATTCTACTCTGGAATATTTATTTTTACTGCAAAAATTCCTGATCCTCAAGACTTAGAATATTAAAGTATTTCTTGCTTTCCTGAGAGTAAGCCAATATTGAATTATGCTAATAATGTCTCTATTTGTTCAATAAATTGTCAAATAAAATAATATAATTAGAATGCTCAGAGAACCTAAAAATTACTTTTACATAAACAGCCTACATTTCAGCACACACTGGTTCTTAGCTTTATCCTTTACCCACATATTTTCTCATTTTACCAAAATAGTTCATTATGTTACACATCAGAACAAAATTATTTGAGTTCGTTTTCTCTTCCTTTACTCCCACTTCCTATACCAATTAGTCTTTTTTTTTTTAAAGATTTATTTATTTATTTGAGAGAGTGAGAATGAGAGAGAGAGAGAGTACATGACGGGGGGAGGGTTAGAGGGAGAAGCAGGCTCCTCGCTGAGCAGGGAGCCTGATCCGGGACTCGATCCAGGGACTCCAGGATCATGACCTGAGCCGAAGGCAGTCGCTTAACCAACTGAGCCACCCAGGCGCCCCTATACCAATTAGTCTTACACAAGAGCATTGATGCATTTAAATTCACAAATCAGGCCCTAATTTAGAGCCCATGCAAAGCAAGCCCTATAGGAATAAATAATCTGTGTACATGAAGTCAACTTCCTATCTATCCTTAGTACAAATAGTATTAAAAAGTTAGATAATGTTAGAATATACATGAGCACTTGAGAAATTAGTTCTTTCTGTTCTTTCTCCCTCCTCTGCTCCCAAGAAGAAGCATTTGGGCTTCCTTTTGGCCATTCAGAAGCCTCGGTATATGGCAGCAGGGCAGAGACATACATTGGACCATGTGTTCTGACTCTCAATTCAAATCAGTCCTTTCAGCTGCCGTTATTTTGTCCATTTCAGGAAACTTCTATGGAACTCCCAAACCTCCAGCAGAACGCAGCCCTTTCCAGCCAGATCCAGTTGATCAGGTCCTCTTCGATAATGAGTTTGACACCGAATCCCAAAGAAAACGAACTACATCTGTCAGCAAGATGGAAAGAATGGACAGCTCTCTTCCTGAAGAGGAAGACGATGAGGGCAAGGAAGCTGTTAATGGCAGTGGAACTGCAGGTTTGTAAACAGATGAAAAATTCTAACTGATCTTCCGGGTTGACTTGAACATGACACTGAACTGGAAGTAGTAAAACCTTTCCCAGAGCATGTGTAGAGCAAGTGATGCAATTCTAATTATTTTTAAGAGATTGTGTGTGGAGTGAAGTGTATCTCTGTCAACCACCTTATAAGGTGAAGTGAGGTTGCACCAAGTGGCAGTTTTGATAAGTCTGTAATAAGCTATCATTAGTAATAACATAACATGCCATGATCCCTCTGCTTAAAAGATTTGAGGTTCCGGGCGCCTGGGTGGCTCAGTTGGTTAAGCGACTGCCTTCGGCTCAGGTCATGATCCTGGAGTCCCGGGATCGAGTCCCACATCGGGCTCCCTGCTCGGCAGGGGGTCTGCTTCTCCCTCTGACCCTCTCCCCTCTCGTGCTCTCTGTCTCTCATTCTCTGTCTCAAATAAATAAAATCTAAAAAAAAAAAAAAAAAAGATTTGAGGTTCCAAGATATGAGAATCTTGTTAGCCTAAGTCGTACTTTACAGGATATGGGCAAAATACAGTTTTAAGATATAACCTTCAACTAAAACTGCAGAGGGTTAGAAATATGCCAGTAAAAATTATCTGAAAGATTTGTTAGCACTATGTTGTTTAAATTCTGAATCACTCAAAAAAAAAATTTCTAAACCTGACTCTTATTTTTCATTAGATGCTAAACCAACAGAAATTTAGTGGTGAAGAATCTTCCTTTGAGTACCCCTAAAAAATGTGGTGTTTGCTTAGGAGATTCTTACCCTTTTTTTTTTTTTAATTTTATTTATTTATTCATGAGAGCCAGGGGGCGGTGGGAGTAGGGAGAAGCAGGCTCCCTGCTAAGCAGGGAGCCTGATGTGGGGCTCTATCCCAGGACCCTGAGATCATGCCCTGAGCCAAAGGCAGACACTTAAAGACTGAGCCACCCAGGCGCCCCGATTCTTACCCTTCTAATTGAGAGTATAAGTAGGAAGCTACAGAATCACAGCAGAACTAATTTCAGTGCTATTTATTATAACATGTTTATTCAAAACACTAGAATATGAACTTCATGAGGCCTGGAAGTTTTGCTTGTTTTGTTCATTGCTGTATCCCTTGCACCATAAGCAGTGCCTGGCACAAAGTAGGAACTAAGAAAATATTTTATTAATACCCCAAAAATGAATGAATTTGAGTACATCCCCAAATTTGCAGAACCCATTACCATATTATTTTCCCAAACCACTTAAATTTGCTGTGTATATTGTATTTACTGTCTTAATACATCCACATTTCTGTCCTCCTCCAGGGTGTGAGTCCTGTCTTATAGTGCTAACATCTCACATAGTTATGATACATAATATGTTTGATGTTAAATTAATTACTCCAGTATACTTGGGTGTAGAGACTGAGAAAGGCCTAAAAGGTTTAGGTGAATTCACATCTAATTATTCAGGGGCTGTTAAGGGAAATTATCATACAGTAGAGCCTTTTGATATTGATGTCAGCTTTGTTTTCCCACAGAATTAAGTCTGTTAACATTTTTAAATGTTTCAGACTGGAATTACAGACCATGAATCTGTCCCAGTGTGGGAATTTATATATTCTTATTTTGAGGGGGGAAAAAATGTTCTGTTTTTACTTCCTAATACAGATCTCAGTGACCACTGCAGTTCCTTCAGAGGGAAACCTCTCTGTGATCCCCATAGCTTTATGTTTGTCATGTAAGCCAGTTGTTAAACCAGATATTACTAACTTTTTGACGTTAATATTTAAAGGGAGTGTATCCGAGAGTGGGAGGCACTTTGTATACTATCTTTTGTGTGTGGATACCATAGGGCACTTCCACTGGATTATATATTTCTTTGTAAGAGAAAATATTCAGACTATTTTAAGGAAAAAAACAATAAAAGACAGGACTAATAGCCCTTGTTTTTTTCTGAATAGGTACTAACTCTAGTTGTTAACTTTTATTGAAAGTTGTGGAAATGTGCTTTTTGTGTTGCTTTTGGGGACTAGAATTCCTGCCTTGAAAAATCAGAAAATTGTTGGGGATGGAAGTGGTGAGGGGATAGTTAAAGATTTATTTGTATCCCCAATATGTATATTATTTTATATCTTGCTGAAGAATTCATGTGAGAATGCTAATATGCCCATGTAGGATGACATGTTATATAATAATGCTAAAATTTTTTCCCAATTATTGGTTGTTACATAAACAGTATTTTCAAGTCATTGGCTATTAAGCGAACTCTTTTACACAGTCATTTCAAATTATGTTCAGAAAAGTATGAGACATCATATAGTTGCTTTTGTTTTCCTCCAACATACTTCTGTCCCAAGATTGTAACTCCCTTCCAGATTGATTTACACATTGGGTGCCTTTTAATTTCTGTCACTTTTTTGCCTGGAGAATGAATCATGGGTTTTATTCTAGCTATGCATTCAACAAATATTTATTGAGTACCTGCTAGGCTAGTAAGTGCTGGCGTTTTTCTAACAGCTAAGAATAAAGCACTGAACAAAACAGACAAAAGCTCTGGTCTTCATGAACTTTGCCTTCTAGTGGGAGAGAAAAAAAATTATCCAACATGAATGAATAGCATATGGTATATTAGAGAGTGCTAAAGAGAAAAACAAAGCAGAGAAGGAGAGGGATAAAAAGTAGTGGATTTTAGATAGAGTGGCAGAAAAGATCTCACTGAGAAGAAGACTTTGAAAGAAGCGATGGTGTAAACCCAAAATATCTGGGAGGAGAATATTCCAGCCAGAGGGAATTTTAAGTACAAATGCCCTGAGGTGGGAGCATGCCTGGATTACTCAGACAAAGGCAAGGAAACCAATATAGTTGGATACAACGTGGACAATGCATTATATGTGGTTGGAGCAGAGTGATGGAAGGAAATAGAATAGTGAGCAATGAGGTCAGTCAGATAATGATTGGGGGTGTGTGGAAATGCGTTTATGTAGGATCTTATACATTGTTGGAAGAATTTTGCTTTTTAAAAAAAGAATTTTGCTTTTTATTCTGAGATGAGAAACCATTATAGGGTTTTGAGTAGGAGAGGAACATGATAAAACGAATTTTAATAGGCTCATTCTGGCTACTGAATTGAAAATAGGCAGTAGGATGGCAGGCATAAATAGTGATACTAATTAAGAGGTTATTGCAGTAATTTATGTGAGAGATAGTGGTTTGAACCTGATGAAAGTGTGACAGGGAAGAAGTGGCCTGAGCCAGTAACATTTGCTGACAGACTGGATTTGAGGTCTGAGAGCAGAGAGTCAAAGATCACTTCAAGGGTTTTAATTTGAGTATCCAGAAGAATGAAGTTGCCTTTATTGAGATGAGGTAGATTGTAAGAGGAGTCAGTTTGGATTGGAAAAGGGTAGTAGGAGCTCCAGTTGGGATATTTAAGCTTGAGATGCTCATTAGACATCCAAATGCAAATGTCCTGTTTGAAGTTGGATTTAAAAGTCTGTGTCTGGTCTGAAGATGCATATTGGGACATCATCAGCATACAACTTGCAGAGCAGTGACACTGAATGAGATCACCAAGAAAGTAACTCTAGAAAGAGAAGAGAAAATGCACACAGGAGGGTGGAGAGGCCTAGAAGCCAGGGGAAGAGAATGATCAACTATGTCAGATGCCACTGATAAGTCAGATAAGAGAGCCACTGAGAACTGATCATTGGATTTAGCTATGTGGAGGAAACAGGGTCATCCAATGAGATTAGGGCTGAGGGAGAAATAATGGTAGATTTAAGAAGGAAAGTGTGAAATAGTTATCCAGGGGAGTGTCAGAGTGAACGGACTAAAGGAATTTCCTGTGATTATCATACACCATTAAATGCCCTCTTGAGGTTAGTTATCAGTTACATGTGCCTGCGTAGAGTAGATGGAGAGATATAAGCAGAGTTATGCCTCAGCCGGGCACGTATGCTGAAGTAAGGTTGAGGCAGAAGATCCAGTAGTGTTTGCAAGGGAGCGACAATCATGGCTGATGACAGAACTTAAGTTGCCTGAGTAGGACAATGAGGACATGGCGAGGGCACAGATGGGGGCGAGGGCACAGATGGGGGGTGAGGAATGGTGAAGGGTAGTGAGTAGCTGTATTAATGGATTCTAGAACTAGGTTGGATAAAGGACAGTGAGAGTGGAAGTACTATATGTAATGATATCTAAGGCATCTTCTAAGATTCTCTGATTCCGAGGCATTGCCCGCAGTTTGGAGTTGTCGTAAGTTCGAAGTGCATGAATTGTGAATTCCCTAGATGGTAACCAAATTTTAGTATTCTTACCTACCTCATGGACTCTGGGACTCTCAAAGAATTGTGATATCACCAACAGAGAGTTAGACTTAACAACAGAAAGTCTATTGAGCGTAATTTTAAAAAACTAGTATTATGTTAAAGGCCTGTGTTAAATATATGTGAGACAGGTTGGTAGAGCAGTTCAGAGCGTGGACCATCTAGATTTGAATCCTGACTGTGTGTTACCAGCTGTGTGACCTTGACTAAATTGACCTCACTGTGCCTTAGTTTCTTCATCCATAATCTAAAAAACATAAGAGTAATAATAAATCATCACAGGGCTGCTGTGAGGATCATGAGTTCATATATGTAAAGTGCTTCAAGTAGAGCCTGGCCCATGAAAGGACCGTGTAAGTGGCCCTGCAGACTTTGCTGTCAGTCATACACTAACTGACACATATTCACAATATTCCCAATTGATCCCAGTGTTGCTTGTCGCTTTTTTCCCAGACTGGCATCAGAAGTGCTGTACTGGGTTAATGTCACTTAGCAGATGAAAAAAATGCAGTATGTCTATTTGTTACCTCAAAAATGATAGCAGAACAGGGCTCCTGGGTGGCTCAGTTGGTTAAGTGACTGCCTTTGGCTCAGGTCATGATCCTGGAGTCGTGCGATCGATTCCCGCATTGGGCTCCCTGCTTCTCCCTCTAACCCTCCCATTGTATTGCCTGTAAGGTGACTGTTACCGTATATTGTCTGTGTTCCTTTCTGGTCTATGTTGCTTTTAGGGCCTCTCTTTGCTTAGAGGACCCCTTTCAAGATTTCCTGTAGGGCTGGTTTTGTGTTTGCAAATTCCTTTAGTTTTTGTTTGTCCTGGAAGCT